GATTGATCTTTACCTCTGATCTGAAATTAAAAAAAAATGACGGATTTTAAATTAGTGTAAGTATTATATAGTTATCGCCGGAACTAAAATAAAAAAAAAATATTTGAAAAAATGGCACGTAGTTAAAAGTACAAATCTGAAACTCGTTTTCAGAAAATACTTTTAACTACGCGCCATTTGTTCAAATATTTTTTTTTTTTTCATTCTAGTTCCTGCGATAACTATACTTATACTAATTTAAAATGCGTCATTTTTTTTAATTTCAGATCAGAGATAAAGATCAATCGACCCCCGCCAGTCAGGTCCATTTTTTTAGGAGAGGGGAACTTTAGCGCCATTTTTCTAATTAAAAAAAAAAATTTTTTTTATCTTAGTTTTCATTTTTATGTAGTTGATAAGTAATAGAATAAGTGTAAAAAAATTTGAAAGGATTAGTCATTATAGAAACCTTCATATAGAAATAAAATTTTTAAAATAGCTTAAATTTTAGACCACTATCCACCCGTTCCCCTTAATAGACTAAAATCAACAGGGAAAATTTTTAAATTTGGATTTTTGGTTATTGTTATTTTGATCAAATATTGTTATTTTTATTGATTTGTGTTCTATAATTTTTTATATTTCGAATAAAATAATATTTTTCCTTAAAAATTCCCCAAAAAAGATAATTATACCCAAAAATTAACTTAGATCGTGTAGAGGCACGTGTTGTTTTGAATTACAAAAAAAAAAAAATTTTTTTCCAGTGTTTTTTCATCAAAAAGAAGCTTTTTAGGGGGCGCCGCAAAAAATTTAATTTTTAACGACCACCCTAATAAATATGTATTTTAATATCTGTACTTTTAGTTTAATTATATAATTGTAGAAATATTTCTGTTTTTATCGATTTAAAAATTTGTTATTTTGTTGCATTATTCTAGAATTTCATTGTTTAATATTTGTTTATTTTAAATTGTTCAACTATCAAGTTCTATTTTTTATTTGCTTCGTATTCGTAAAAGTTCATTTATTGTTCTTTACTATTTAATTTTTTATTATCTGAAAAATAATTCAAAAAACAGCATTATTAAAATTTATTTAGACATTTTGTCTCAACGCTCAAATTCTGTAATTAAGTTACTTCAAAATCTTTAAGATTAAAATAAATCTTTTTCTTTAATGTTCTATTGTCATCACTTGAGTATTTCTTATTTTGAGCATAAGTAATTTTGCTTAGGTATAACAAAACTTCCATTTATCTATTTAATTTTTTTTATATACCTGGGCCCCAGATTAATTATGGGAATTTCCCTGGGCCTCTTGCAAAAGTCGTACGGAAACTTAATTATCGTACTCGAATAATCTCATACAATCGTTAAAAATGGAATAAAATCGCCCTCAATTTTTTTATAATTAACAAATATGTAAAGAAAAAAATCCTGACATAACAATATATAAGTTTTTAAATATTAAACTTTACACTGATACCTCTGTCAACTGTGGAGAATGTGATATAAAATATCTTATAGGCTCTCTTTTACTTTTTTCTTTTCTTTGTATTTGATATTACTCTACTATTTTGAATTTTCACTGTTATTAACATTTAAATTTAGAAAAAATTATTAGCAGAAATTTATTTTTTTGTAATTTATGTGTTATAAAAATATAAAAACGTTCCTCTGTTATTAAATTTTTACTAAAGGACCTTTTATATCTTTACTATCTTTCCACGCTCACTATCATGTGAATTTAATATATAAATTATGAAATTTACAAGAGACACTTTATTCTAAAAATTGTAATTATCCTTAGAGATATTTATATGTTATATAAGTAATTGTAACATTTTTTTACGTCTTATGTATAGAGCTTGATCTTTAACAAAGTAATAAAGTCATATGTCTTTTTAATTCTCTGTATTATTTATTTTATTTGTTGTTGTTTTTTTTTTTAACAGGATTTTTTATCAAGAGAATAAAAATTAAATTTTGTAACGCTATAACTAGAAATATTATTTTATTGTATTTTTAACTAGGTGCTGAGGCAAAAGTGGTATTTTTTATTGATTAGATAAATACAATTGAAATTTTAAAAACTTTTTATTTTTTAATACAAGTATATTTCTTCCTCCTTCCATTATCATAGTTGCGGTCAATTAACTATGCCATGGTTTTTTATAATAATGCTTAATATCTATTAAAAATAAGCGAAAGCCAAAAATTATTTATGTAAACTGTTCATAATTGAAGAATAAATTTTCTTTTTAAAACTAAAACTAGTTTCCATATAAAATTACGAACTATAAAATGCTTTTATAAATACGTTCAAGTGTTTGTTGTTTAGATACTCAACAACATACAATACCAGTTCAAACGGTAACGGTATAGCGTTTCCAAGTGATGAAATTTTCTTCAAATTTTCGAGATGTCTCAATCTTTCCTTAGCATCTTTTATCTTAGTTTGAATTGGATAATAATAGACATTACAAAAATTACGGATTTGTACAATACTTTTATCTAATACACGCTGCGGAAAAACTTGATCCAGGGAATCCAGTAAATTCTCTTCTCGCGCTAAAATTTTTAATTTTTTATCATTATAAACTTGCATTAAAAAATCATATATTGTCATTTTATCGTCGCCAAATTTAATAAAACGCTCCTGCAATTCTTTTTCAATGAAATTCGTTTTGTAGTCATCTACAATCTTTTTGAAATTTTCGTCGCTGGCAATTAATTCATCCATCAATTTTACTTCTTCTTCTGGAACAGGTAATCTAAATACACCCCTGAAGATCAGATCTTTTAAAGCAATGTGTATACAAATTTGTCGTTTTCTCCGGATAGATCTTAGAAAACTTTCTTGCTGAGCTTCGGAATGAAGACGTATAAAACGCTGAGACTCTTCATCTATAGGAAGAGTGGCGTTGTATAAAACCCTAGATAAGGATATAGACGTATAATAAGGCAACAAATCCTCCAGTAGTATGTAATAACCTTTGTAAGCTGTTAGATTGGGCAAAAATGTTGCTAGGTCATTGTTTATCAGTGCGTACATGTCAGCTCCCCAATTTGCTAATGTAGAAATAAATTTTGAGTGGTCATTCACTGAACTTTTGACGAACGCATCATAGTTACCAGGACGTCTGTATTTTTTTAATTTTTTAGGATAAAATAAATAATGAGTGACTGGTATATCATTATTATCGCGGTGATTTATCAACTTATCCCTCAATTGAGGATCTTCAACATTTGACATAATAGTTAGAATATATCTCCAATAGTCCTTTTCAGCAGCGTACATCAGCAATGTTTTATTTTTAAGACTTATAATGTCTAAGTTTACGTTTTTGAGATGATTAATTCATTAGATTGAGATGATTAATGATTAATTGATGGTTTATCATAAATAACAGTATATGCAACCAGTGGCATTTTTTTTACCAAAATCAGGACACCATCCTTTGCGTTTGACGTGCTTTGAAAAAATTTTTTTTTTCAAATTCGGCATTAACATTTGCGTTAGCTTTCACCAATGTTTTTATTTTTTCAATTCCTAATTTTCCTTCGGGAGTAATCATGCATCTTTGGTTGAGTGGTACATAAAAACAAGCCAAATGAATGGATTGAGTCCCGTCAGCGGCCATTGCATTGACATCTGCTTTATAATCATCAACTAGTAACTCCACCAAGTGATCTTTATTTTTCATGCATGCAACATATGCAATGCTGTGAATCCAGCAAATTCTCCCGTTGTTATTATCGGTTCATTAACATCCATCCCATTCTTTAATAACAATATAAGATCTTCCAATTTGTCTTCTTCGATGGCTTGATACATCGGTGAGTTGCCAGCTGTTGTTGGATTTAATTCAGGATCCATTTTATATCTTTTTCTCTGTAATAATAATAATAGATAAATATATTAGTTATTATTAATAACTGTAAATTTTAATATTTAATAATAAGTGTTATATGTGTTATAAGTGTAATATTTAATGTTTAATAACTATTGGGGCGCGCAGTAGCCTATCGGATCCGGCCCTTGCTTACCAAAGCATTGGACCGGGTTCGAGTCCGGCGTACACCAATGAATATTTTCAATATTTAAGTGTATTATACTGCTCAGCCCAAGAAATAAAACGAGTTCCAATCTCAAAAGTTTACCCCCTACCGTAGTCGCTCATGACCTTAGTAGTTTATGCGACTTTAAACAAATTAAGAAAAAAAAAAAAAAAATAACTATTACTTCACTATTTAAAATTTTTTTTGTTATTAATATTTAAATTTTGGAAAAATTATTAGTTGAAATTTTTTTCTTATTAAAAAATATCTTAGAAAAATTTGACATGTAAAAAATTTGCAAAAACTATTGTAATTTTTTAAAAATATTTTTTCAGTTCTCAAATTTTTTATTGCTTAAATAAATTAAAAAAATAAACAAGCACTATTCATTAAAGTGCTAAGTATGTAAAAAAAAAATGAATTAATTTTACATTTTAAATATTCATGTATTTTTAAATATTCGGCCCTAGCGTGTTAGGCTAATAGACCGGGAACTTTCGAGTTCTAATTTATTAAGAATGATAAGTTCGTTTGAATAATTTAATCTAGTTGTATAATTTTAATCCTTATCGATATATTGTTCAAATTCAAAATTAATATTATTAGTTAAATTACAATTATTACACAGGGATTAAAGGTTAATGTTTTCTTTCATATAATTAAATTCACAAATTAATAACTCAAATTTATACCTGATTTTTTGGCATTTTTCGTTGGCTCTTCTGAATTTTTCCTTTACGTAACTTAAATTCACTTTACAAAACAATTTAATTTTACTTCAACACGTAGTTTCAAAAACTTAGTAAAACTTTAGACGATGTTAACACTAGTACGTCAGGACAACGAGAGAGATTTTTGGGTGGAAATCGTAAGGGTATAGAATTTTAAGGCCTTATTAATTCTCACTACTTGGGGGAGAACAATGTCCTACTATTTTTCTATTTTGTGGGCCTTTACCCCTCTTTCAAGTTGTCTATAAATTTCGCATGAGTCCCCTCTACTTGGGGTCAGAGTGCAGTATCGTTTTCTCACTTACTCTAATGTTTGATTATCCATCTATGCATTTGTATGTATACGTAAGCGCATTTACATATAGACAAAGACATACATGTGTAGTGTTTAACATTAAATTATTTATTTAAAACGTATGGATAAATATATATTTCAATATCTTATGTATGTTGAGTTTAATTATTTAATTGTAGAAATATTCCTGTTTTTATCGTTTTATAAATTTGTTATTTTGTTGTATTATTTTAGAATTGCATTGTTTAATATTTGTTTATTTTAAATTTTTCAACTATCAAGTTCTTTTCTTACTTGCTCCATATTCGTAAAGCTCATTTGTTTTTTACTATTAAATTTTTTAACTTCCCGCTAAGAAAATTGAAAATTTTCAAAAATCGGGAAGTTATTGTTTTCACCCCGTTTTTCAAAAATCGAGTTTTCATCGAATCTTGACGTTTCGAGGTCCTAGGAAGCTTTCCTGACTATTTTCAAGATGATGTCCGTACGTCTGTATGTATGTGTGTGTGTGTGTATGTGTGTGTGTACTGGCAACATATATTTTAATGATTGATAATTTAGCGTTGAAAAATAATATGTAATATCAATTTTAGTAATGACCCCGAAAAAATTTTTCAATATCGCCATATCAGACTATGTGTGAAAACAAAAAAATTTCAACTTCCCGCTAAGAAAATAGAAAATTTTCAAAAATCGGGAAGTTATTGGTTTTACCCCGTTTTTCGAAAATCGAGTTTTCAACGGATGTTGACGTTTTGAAGTCCTAGAAAGCCTCCCCGAATGTTTCCGCGGTGATGTCCGTATGTCTGTATATGTGGTGTGTGTGTGTGTGTGTGTTTTTTTTTTTTTCCTTAGGGGGGGAATCCTTTTTACGGATTCTAGGCATAGATGTTGGCCTGGATATGTGGCGACTCGACGCAGCGTCATACTAAAAACTCGACGCTGACGCCCCTACCCACTAAACCCTAAACCCCTTTCTCTTCTATCCTCTTCCCTCATGGAAACCGCCGTCAGGCATTACTTCGTGAGGGGAGGATCTAGCTACTGCTCTTCCTTCTGATGGCTAAGGTGTTAACTACCTTCCTATATGTATGAGTCCATATATGATCAGATCTGATCATATATAAGTCTATATATAATTAGATCTGATCATATATTCCCGCGATGGTGTCTGTATGTCTGCATGTGTGTGTGTGTGAGTGTGTGTGTGTGT